CCACTTCATTCCTCTATCACACCCGTACAATGCCACTTCGGTTGCCCTCGCCTTCTTTACGCATATTTTCCGCTTATATGGGTTACCGGAATCCATCATCAGCGACAGGGACCCGGTTTTCACTAGTGCCTTCTGGAAGGAGTTATTTCGGCTACATGGCACCACCCTGGCCTTATCCTCAGCATATCATCCACAGACCGACGGACAGATGGAGGTGGTAAACCGCACGATCGAGATGTATCTCCGTTGCTTCGTGGGGGATCAGCCGTGACGGTGGGTAGATTGGCTTCCTTGGGCCGAGTACGGTTACAACACTACCTACCATTCTTCCCTCGGCATGACCCCTTTTCGCGTCGTCTATGGCCGGGACCCTCCTCGCTCGTTATCCTACGAACCATGTTCTACTCAATTGGAGGAAATTGATCGCTCCTTACAGGAACGCGACACCCTCCTAGCCGACGTACACCTTCGCTTACAGCAGGCCCAGCTCCGCATGAAGCTCACCTATGACAAGCACCATCGGGAATTGTCATTCGAACCAGGACAATTTGTTTGGTTGAAACTCCAGCCCTACCGGCAACGCTCCCTGCGCCATAAGGCTGGCCCTGAACTGGCCCCTTCAAGGTTCTGCGACGGATTGGCACTATGGCATACCAGCTGGCATTACCAGAGAACAACCGGATTCAAGATGTTTTTCACGTCTCCTTGCTAAAACCATTTACGGGCGTTCCCCCAGACCAAGTTCCCTCCCTGCCACCCTTGAAAGAAGGCAAACTTGTTCCCCAGCCTAGGGCTCTCATCCGCTCTCGTATCAATCGAGGTATTCTTGAAGTTTTGGTGGAATGGGACAGCCTACCCTCGGCCGAAGCCACCTAGATCCCCTTGACCGAGTTCCAGGCCACGTACCCGGAGTTCGAGCTTGAAGGCAAGCTCTTAGTCCAGGAGGGGAGTAATGATATGGACGCGTTCCTCGGGAAGAAGTATCATCGCCGCCGGCAGCAACAGTGATCCAATGTTCTCATCCTACCCAGTTCGGCAGCAACAGCCTTATCATATTAGATTAGACTATCCTACTTGTTCTTATCTTATTAGTAGATTAGATTATCTTATCTTATCATATTAGGATTAAGAGAGACTTATCTTATCCTAACAGTCTTATCTTATCAAGATAGAGCAGGAGGTCTCCCTATTCAGCAAGGAGTCTCCCTAGGATTAGGACTCTTGTAATCTCCTATTTAAGGAGACACCATTATTGAATGAAGGCATCGAATATTCAGTCCAGAAGTGAGTTAGGAGAGTTGGTGATCTCTTGAACAAATCACCAAGGCGCCAAAATAGGTTCATCAAGAGCAGGGAGGAACAAGGAAAAACAGGAGGTTTTCCCCGTGGACCGACCCGTGACGAGATCCTATTTGCGGGCCCTCAACACACAATTGCATATCTACTGGGGATAGACTTCCATCAAGGCTATATTGTCTAACCTTCCTATCTATTTCCGTTACACAGTGATTGAAACGTGTAAGAATATATTGCCCACTTGGAAGTACAACCGCATATCTAAAGGGGGCAGGTTTACAGTTTACTATCATCAAGGTACATTGCCTAAACTTCCTATTTATTTCCTAATTCCTATAAGTGTTCCATATCTCAGCCAAAGTTAGGGACTGTGGTGAATAGATTCAACAGAACTTTCTTTGGGGTGGAAGGTGCAAAGAATACCTAGTCAGCTGGAAGGAGATAAGAAAACCAAAAAAGGAACGGGGTTTTGGGTTGGGCCAAATCTCACACTAGAATGTTGTTTTGCTCAGGACATGGCTTTAGAGGTTCTGAGTGGAACATCAATGTTTTTGGGCTATGGTTACAGAAGTAAAGAATGAACATTAACAGATATAACAGCAACCACAACCTGCACCACTTCTCTGTCTTACCAATGAAAGAAATTTTCAAATTTTGCAATTCTTTCATCCTTCTCATCAGATATGGCTTAGGCAATGAGAAACATATCAAATTCTGGCATGATCTGAGATGAGGAAAGCAACCACTAAACATGGCATTTACCAAAATTTACTGTTTATTTTGCCCCAACGACCAAGGTCTCCATTCCTACCTGCAGATATCTTCTCTTGAAATCTCAGTTTTCATAGACCTCATAAGGCCTATAGAGAGATAGAAAATCACCTCTCTTTTCTCATAGGGTTTACAGGTCACCTTTAGTCTCTGGTAGGCACATTTGATCCCTAACTCTGCCTGGCATCTTTACCACTGAATCTTTTTTTCTACAATCTCCCACCTAGAAGCAAATGACTTTCCAGAAAGAAATCTATGAAAGTTATGGTACCATGACACCTAGAGTATCAATTTTTATCTTGGAGGCTTATTATGGAAAATTAAATGCATGTAATATCGCTCAAAAAAAGATGGTCAAGTGATCGGACATCTCCCTTATGTTTGCATCATTGCCTTAGCAATGGCCAGATGGGGAATTCATCAACCACCTCCTTCATTGCCAAGAAATCATGAAGCTCTGGCACTTCTTCTTGGGTCTTGTTGCGCTGGAGCAGAAGACTCCTAGAAAAACTTCAATTATGCTTAGACTTAGACACTGGAGAAGTATGGCCTAGGGGTTAAAGGAGGATCTACTGGTCCACAATCAACACAAATAATATCACAGAACACAACTAGAAAGTTGTAAAGTGAAGTTGATCTTTTCATAAAAGCAACTACCTCTAAAAGGCCAATTTATGTGCTGAGAAAACGGCTGTGCAATCAAGTAGGTTTCTCTTCATTTAAAGATGTGCTATTTGATTTACAATACCAGTGGTTTTCTTAAGCTTAAAACAATATCTATAACACTTTTGTCATTTTACAATTACAAGTGAAGCAAGAAGCCAAGAACTAAAGAATTAATCAATGGTTTCAGAATTCAGACATCTTTACCCATAATAATGCAAATAGCACTTGTACCTTAATGGACATATATTCTAAAATTAAATTCTAGGTAAGAATTGTGTATTACTATTACATGGTTTCAAGTCAGTAGAAGATGTGTTGAAAATCAATTTTCCATCCTACTGTTAAAAAACAAAAAAAAAAAAAAAAAAAAACTCAAGCACACCTTTTCACTGTGCGGTATGGAGCAGTACTCTTACATTCACATGACAGAAAATGCATAGATCTAATTCAACAACAAGTCAACTGAGCCTTACCAACTGATAGTCAGATGGTGGCTAGTTGTAGCAGACTTGGGATCAAATCCCATTGCCAGTTTGCAACCAGGCAGGGTTGGGGGTTATGGATTTGGGGGACAGGCTACCCCCCTCTTGCAGTTCTGTAACCCCATGAAGCAAAAAATATATAAATAAATAAAATTAACTAAACTTTGCCCCAAGTATATGAGGTCAACTACAAGAATCATCCTGTTCTGCCATTCTGCTCTGCATAGCAACGTAAATCTAAATATACAGAAATAGGAGGCACAATACGAGTGGGTGGGGCCATTGTAGACTGCACATTATATGCCTATCTTGTTGTCCACGGTCCATTACAACGCAAATACTTCAGGTTTAACCGAATTAACGTTCCAAGAAAAAACCAAGTTATTCAACCAGATTATCATTATTTCAGAGACCAGAGTTGTGTTTTCACCCCTCCCCCCAACTGTTACACCAATCTCATTCCAGAAACCTTAACCATATAATGAGAAGTTTTTCTTCCCACCACATATGGATACTTGACAATGCATGTATGTACTATAATATAAAATAGCTCAAACATAAAAGATGAAAAATCAGATGAGGAAATTAGGTATATGGTTAACTGCAAACCTTCAACGGATAGCCCAAGCAAACTATTGCTGAAACATCGATTTCTTCACTACAAGCTACCATGCAGCTGACTCTGCAGAAAAAACAGAACGCATACCAAATAATGCATTGAAAGCAAAATGAGCATAGAAGATCCTTTCAGTGGTAGCAAGATAGACAACAAAGTGACCAATACCTTGAACCCATAGATTTCCCTGCCAAAATTAGTGGATGGCCGGGGTATTTTGCAACAGCCTTTTTGACCACATCCAAATGATACTCAACTAACTTCTCTGCCTTGGGAGGTGCCTTCCGTTTCCCGCCAGAGATGTCTGCGACAAGTTTCATAATAGAAAGCCAGAAATTTCCGCAATAAGTAAGACCTTTGATCTATAAGCATAAACATTGCAATGGGGAGAAAGGAACTTCAAATGGCGGTATTACAATGGTCACTATAAAGTATAAACTTGAGCTAGGGTTCCAAATTCAAGTTCTTTGACAGACAAGCCTAAGATTGACTAAAACAGCTTAAGCTAGCTTCCGAATAGATACTAAAAGAAACATGTTCTTTGGTGGTAACTCACAAGGATAGTCAAAAGTAACTACTTCAACAGCATGCAATGTCTTGCCTAGCATGTTCTTCCATCTGCATAAATGCCGCTCTTTCTTAGTTCGAAATTTCAATATTGAAGTGTGAACCAATACCCAACTAATTAGAAATCCATTTGGTGACAGAGAACGAAAGAAAGTGGGAGGATGAACCTTATCATCCAATCTGAAGTAGAAGGAGCTCCAGCGCCATGGGCGAAGACCACAAGAGGCAAGCTCTTATCGAGAGAAGCATCAGTTGAATCGTCTTCACTCTGGTTCTTACGAAGACGCTTCGAAGGACGAGAAGCCATGGTACAACAAGAGATGCTTCAGCCCTCACTCTCTACAAGACTACAACCAGCAAGGCAGCAACCTAGAAAAAACAACAGAGTGAGGTTTCGCGCGTCAATGAGATAAAAATGAGAGCTCGGTTACCCATGAGTTACACAGGAAGCTTTCAATCCTTTTTCAATTTAAATTAAATGTATATAAAATTATAAAATCACCTGCAGTCGTATAATTTTATCATATTTAATGGTTTAACGGTTCAACCATCCAAGATAAATAGATGAAGCTGTAATACTATGGGGTCCCCTGTACTTTATTTTGTGACAAAGACCCCTTTGTATTATGAGCGTGAGACAAAAACCCCCTTGAACTGTTAAGATAGATGATGGAATGCGTTAAATTACTAAAATACCCTATTAAATTTTTTCTATTTTTTTTTTTTGTCAATTTTCTTTTCTTCTCTTCTTTTCCCCTCCCCCACTGTCCTCTCTCATTCTTTCCTTATATGGGTGATCCTCCAACCCTTCAAGCCCCAATCCATACCGCAAGACGCTATAGTGTACGAGTTTAACATCTTCGACAGGAACTTCTTCACCTAAAACTGTACATATTAGTCTCCTTACAGAAACTATATCCGTGTGCCAGACAAAATGGCGATGGAATCAATTGGCATCCAAGAGGATTTTCTTGAGGGATTCCTTTACAGACCCAAGAATCCGCATGAAAGCAGTCATGGCTTCCGCTGAGGAGGATAGATGTTGGGGCAATTTGTTGAGCTCAGAAACGTTCAAGTTGAGCTTGCCGTTGATGCTTTTCACAATGTCTGGAAAGCATCTCGAGAGACTAGAAGCTTGAATTTGCATCAGTCTCCTAGCCAAAACAGGGATGACCACGATGGATTTGATCTGCGAGAGAAAGGGATCCGACAGAAACTAATGGTGTGCAATCTGGATGCTCCTAGTTGTAGGGCAGCTCGGACGCCTGTCGCTAAGTAGGTTGCTAGAACTGCAAAGAAAGGGAGGTATCAGAGAACCCGGGGTGGCCAATTCGGCGAGGTTCCTCCGATGCTTAAGTCAGTAATAGTATATGCGAGCTGAGAGTTTTAAGAACAAGGAGAGCTAGAATGCACTAAATCGCGCGTACCTGGGGCTCAAGGGCTAATGCCCTTATATAGTTGAGCTACCATGGGTCTCACAAAACGACTCCAAGATCCTCAGTCCACGTAGATGAGATCCGTTTCCGCTTTAGAAGGAGAGTAATGTACCAGTCAATGAAGTCTATCGTTATCGTCTGATCCGAGCGGGGAGAGGATAAGGCATGTCATTACGCAGCGTGATCCCGAGAGATTTGGAGTCCGCTAAGAAGCTTTTGGAGTTGATTACATGTCACTTCGGTACTCGGGTGTCGAAGTGGCTTTGCTGCCGAGGTGCTCGAACACCCGGGCTCCCGAACTGCTGACAACGCTCCCCTTGCTGAGTTGTCATCCTTCTAGCAGGTTGTGTCCACGTGTCCTTTACTTGCTAGGTCGGGCCAAATCACCACTCATCAGAAAGTCTCGCCTCCTCAACCCTGGCCTCCTCGTAGGACTCGTCCTTGATGTGATTCCTCACACAGATGTAGCCAAGCCCAATGTTCACATCGTCAGAAGTGACCTTCTCGAGCAGATCTTCAGGAGCTTTATCACATTTTGTAACCATTGCCAGCGTCCTCTCACCGGTGGTATCAATGCGCTGAGACATTCTAATCGATTTGTAGGTCGGTAAATCAATAGTAGTCGATAAGACTTTCAGAATGATGCAACCCTTGGGCATTATGTACTCCATTATGATGTAGGAAATCTGCTCGTAGGTGTCCTGGGGTTGGCCAAGAACAGGGACCCTAGTTATCCGGGGCAAATCGACCATGGTGAGGTCAGGGGCGCCCTTCTTTTTGACCATGGGAAATGCTCTTGTTGTTGCCGGCGATCTCGTTGGTGGCATCTACAATGGCTTCTGTGACATGGGTTTCATTGGTGTTGTCCTTCTTGTCATGGTAATCCAAGTAGAGTTATGGGTTGGTTGTAGAGTGGTGCTGCAAGTACATTACGAGAGGAACTCGAGTGCAGATGCCTATGCCCCGAGGGAGGCTGATGCCGGCGTGGGACTCGAGAACACTAGACTTGCCGGAGGATTGGTCTTCGAAGATGACAATGGTGAGGAGCTCAATGCCTTCCTTCGTCACCTTGAGGTGGTGCAACTGGTCGACAATGTCAAGGAGGGGCCGAATCTGGTCACTATACGTGGAGTAGAGAGGGACGGCATTGTGGGTAAGCTCATTGTCTTCTTCCTTGAGACCAAACCTAGCCATTTTCTCTTGGATGCAAGTAGTTTTGCAGTTTATAGAAACTATATCTGTGTGTCGTCTTGATCAAAATCAAGATTAATGGAAAGCTCAGGTGGAAGGTGGGTACTTGGATCTCCGGCTTATATCACCTTTGGCAGTCAAAGCACAGGGATTCCCACCAAAACAGCTTTCAAGTACCAGTTGGTACAATCTTGTGGTGTTGATGTTTGAACTCTCAACTCTGAAGTTTGAAGCAAGCAATCATTGTGGTTGTAGTTGGGATTAAATGAGTTCAATCCAGACGTTGGGGTATTTTCAATTCCCATCTTCACGGGTAGTATGGGGATTAAAAAATATTATAACAGTCTTTTTGGACGAAAGGACAACGGAAGGGGATCTTTGTCTCACGGTCATAGTACAGGGGGGTCTTTGTCACAAACCCCATAGTACAGGGGGGTCTTTGTAATTTACCCAAAAAAAAAACAAATGACCTCTTTGCTATGGTAGAACAACAATTTCCTGATCCTTATTAGCAATTTTTTTTAAACTATTCTTATGTTAGTTAATTGACTAATTTTACCCTTACTGTTTAGATATTGTCTTAGAGCACCCGTAAATTTTTTGACAATTGACTAAGTCCTCTTACCGTTAAAGCCCATTAACATAAAGATAAAAAGACCATTTTACCCATTATTCTCCATCAAACTTTCAAAATGAAACATTCACCTCCGTGGTTCAACAACATCAACAGAATCATCGCTGCAGCTGTTGTAACTGAGAACAAATTGCATCACTGAATATGAGAGGATTGACAGACCTTCTGAGATCCATAGGAAACAACGAGGCCATAGATAATGTAACTGAGTTATTTGCAGAAATCCCTTCCATGGAAGAATCCAAGCAGAAAGACTCGAGATAGAAGAGAAATAGATATTTCACTCGGCCCATAGGGAACTCCTTGACCTTGACGGCATGGAAGAAAGATCCATCTGAAAGAACAACTCTCCCTGATGTGATTGGCTTTCCAGCAAATCCCACGGCCAATCCAAGCAAGAGCACTGCACAACTTGACCTTCCGTTTCATGTATTTCATATAAATATAATCTGGGTAGATAAATATTTTTTCGTTGTAGTTAAACTTCATTTCTTGTAATTTGAGCTGTTACAACTGGAGATCGACGTTGCTCAGGCATCCGCCACTTTTCAATGCCTTAAATAGACGAACTCTCCTGCTTCAATGTTGCTGATACAGTTAGCTCTGTAGCACCTCCACCAGGAACAAGTTTTGGGTTCTCGGTTATATTTCTTTCTACAGACATTGCATTGTGCAGGTTTCTTTCAATGCAACTTCATTCAGATCCTTACTAGCACCTCTTAAAAGAACAGTACAAGCTTTTGGATCTTTCCAATCAACAATGAGTGCAAAGAATTCATCCCCAAACTTCCTGACCTCAAAAAGTGCAGCCCCACTACCAATATCAAACTCTTGCAGTTCATCTGGTCTGTTCACAACAACAGCCCCACATGCCTTAGCAATCCTGTTTTTGTATGTTTTCCTCAATCTAATAAATATTTTATACGAAGGCACAAACATTTAAGACAGCAACCGAAGCTGCTTGCATTCTTCTCAGAATTGCTGATATTGTAAGTGGATATAGGAAGGGACGCTTACTACGAGCTGCGTAGCTTTACCGTCTGAAGGAAGCTTGCAGTGTGGAAGTGGATATAAGAACATGTGCGAAGGGAGTAGCTGAGGGAAGAGTTACAACAACCAAATCAGAGCGAGAGATGAGAGAGAACCACCGCTTAAGGTTGCACCGTTGCAGCGGCATCAAAATCAATGGCTTTGTTGAGAGCCCACTGTCTGCAAAGGAGGTGAAGAGAGAGAGAGAGAAAGGGTATTTTTGGAATTTTTGAAAAAAGTATTGGTCACGTGATGTCATATGACCGAGTGTGACGAAAAATTAACAGTAGAGGAGGTTTTAGTCAATTGTCAGAAAATTTAGGGGTGCTCTAAGACAATATCTAAACAGTTAGGATAGAATTAATTATTTAAATATTTTAAGAAATTTGCCCTTTTCATTTTTATACTCAAGAGTATGATCAATGAATATTTTTCGTCCAAAAAAGGGTCAACACATGTAAATATGGAAGGAAGAAAAAATTAGGAATGTAAATATGGAAGGAAGAAAAATTAGGACATTCAACTATTTTTTTTTCTTTTTTTTTTAAATCTTTATGCAAGAGGTATTTTACGATATTAGGCCAGATCCATAGATGTTTCTACTTTCTACTATGGGTGCAAGTATGGTGAGCTGGGCTAGATTTATGGTCAATCAAAGCCCAATATTAAGATTTTGGCCTAAAGTCTGAGCTTGAGGTCAGGCCTACTCTTCCCAATCCAAGCTTTGCCCGCATTATAATTTGATGCTGTTAGGTTGGGTCAAGCTTATTTTGGGTTGATCAATGAATGCATTCTAAAATTATACATTGTATCTATACATTTATACATATATATATACATCTATTTATATATATAGCAAAACGATTCACGTCACCTTGCTTCTCCTTGCTCCATTACCTCAACCTTGCATTCTCCTTGACTCTCTTTCCTCTCCCCCTTCCCACCACTCCCAATTTGCCATCTCAACACTACCCTCTCTCTTCATTCCATTCCCATTCCATTGGGTTCACTCTCTCTCCCCACAACTCATGTATCTCACTTTCTATAACAAACTAACTTCTCTCCTTAATTAGCTTAATATATGCTTTATCCTCTCTTTCACTTCTATCTCTAATTCCCCTCTATTCTCTCCACTTTCCCATAAAAATGAGGCCATAATTTATTGAGATTTGGGTTTCTAAATCAAACAATATATATATATATATATATATATACATATATATATATATATATATAAACATGATTTCAAGCAAATTAAAGAGGGGAATAAAGGGAATTCAATGTTTCCCATATATTCATGTCATCTTCCATAATTGTTAAATAATCTATTCCTAAATGATAATCAATTGTTAAAAAGTCCGTTAGTTATGAAATTTATTAAAATTTTCTGGAAAATATTCTACCAAAAATTATGAAAGATTTTTTTTCATAAATAATAAATTATTTAACAAACATTAAAAAAATTAATATTCTACCAAAAATTAATAAACAAATCATTATTTAATCATTTTTTGTTATTAATAAATGTCCATAATTTCAATGTTTAGAAAAATTTACATTAATCATTGTAATTTAATAATTTTTCATTAAATCTTTACAATAATAATTTATTGATAAAAGATATTACTAATTAGTGTAATTTACTAATTTATATAAAATCAATAATTATTGTTAACAATTATCAAATTATTTAGGAAAACTCTTTAACTAATAATTCATAATTATTTTCTAAATAAGTAATTAAAAATTTAAGAAATTAATCTATGAAAAAATATTCTCCAAAACTATTTAAATAATAATCCATTATTATTGTTCAACTAAATAATAATTAAAATTTTTTGGAAAATTAAATTAGGAAATTAATCTATCAGAAATTGTTTCATAATTATTTAAATAACAATTCATTATTATTATTTCAATAAATAATTATTAAGTATATATCTACACCGATCTAGACCACTTGGTTGACTTCGATCATACTTTATTTTACATTAATTAACAACAAATGGTTTACTTTTAATTAAAAACAATGTAATTTACCATAATTACATTAATTTACTATAATTACATTTACTTTGATTAATAATAAATAATTTTGGCTTAAAAAGTAAATAATTTACATTAATTTATTGTTATTGTAAATAATTAATTAACTATGCATTACTACTAATCAATAGCAATTTCAATAATTTTTTGGAAATTATCATAAAATATTGTAATTTATTGTTATTTAATTTTTATTAGTTAATCAATTATAGAAAATTATTAGAATTGTAGGGATGGAAATTTTCCCTGTAAAACTGGAGCTCCACCTGTCCCGCCCCAAACGGAGCAAGTTTTCTTGAATATTAAACGGGAACGGGGTGGGGACAAGGAAAATATTTTTGCCCCAAATAAGGATGGGGTTTGCATGTAATTCCCTGAACCTGATAGTAAATTAGTAAAATATTCATAGATTTAATATTGATTTTTAAAATATCTCTAAGTTTTCTTCATATTCTTATAATCCGAGGATCCCATAATTTCATTTATAAAACACCCCTAATTTGTCATAATCTAATTCATAAAATACCCCAAAATTCCCATAATCTTATTTGTAAAATATTCATAAATTAGTTTTCTTAGGTGGTTGCCTCAAGGTGGGGAAATTTTTGGGATTCCCCAACCCTGATGGGGAATGGGTGCCTCGCCCCGAACATGCCTCGCCATTGAGGCTAAGGTGGGGATGGAGTAGAGTGTCTTGACTTACGGGAGTGATGGACAAGGAGGGGTGTCCCATCTCATGCATCACACGGGCCCCGCTAGTATATATGTACATATATACATACATACATACATACATGCATACATATACTTATACATATTTGCATACATACATACATCTATATATGCATGTATGTATGAATGTGTATAGTCAGGTTGGGCTCAGGTTGAGACAAGGTCGGAGCAGGTTCAAGTTACTTAAGGGCTAGGCTTGGGACCAGCCCCAAAAATAAAAAGCCTAAAACTTGGTCTAGAGTCCAACCAAAAGATCAAAAATTTAAGCCCAACCCGTATAAAACTTTGGGCTAGGTCAATTCAGGCCCAGCTTAGGCACACCCAAGCTGCACACACCCCTACTTTCTACCATTTATAAAATAGCCCCCATTTGGGAGTGCTTATTTTAGGCAAACATATAGTAGGTGTTCGGCATCGATGTTGTTGCTTTAGAGATGTTTTCCTAGAAAATGGTTTTCTATGCATGAGGGTATGTTGCACCGTTTTCTCAGAAAACAACTCTTTTAAGGCACCGATGCTGCCGCATAGGCTGTTTTCTGGGTGGTTTTGTTTGGCATCAGTGTTGTATAACCGTTTTCAGCATTGGTCTACATTATCCAACGCCCAAGATGATGTCACATTAATACCACATCATTGCACCGCTGGTAGCAACAGGTTCTTTTTTTGAGAAAACATTGAATTTGGTGTTTCTTTAGACCACACTTTCTTAATTTCCAAGGCATGGTCTGGAGAAACTTTTTTTTTTTTTTTGAAAAACAATGCCAAATAAGAGGTCGTTTTTTGTTTTCTAAAGCACTATTTTTTCTGACGTGGCACCGATGTGGCACTATCGATGTCAAACACTGCCATAAGCACTTATTTGCATTTGGAAAATAAGCCCAAATAAATGTTTTGTTTTTCAGAAAATAAACCCATATTGAATAAACTAAAATTTTGACTTTTTCCAAGTGATTTTGAAAAATATGCTTATTGTTTTTTTTTTTTTGCCTTTCTTGAATTGCACATAATTTCCAAAATACCTATAGAAGAACTTTATGCGCTTAATCACATAGTTTTCAAAATAACCCCATTTAAAGTAAACACTTTTTCATCAAAACACTCATAAGCACTTAATCACTTGTTATTTATTCAATAACCACTCCCGAACGGGGGGCAAATGGGTAGTAATGCATTTCATGTGTTAAAGCCATCCATTTGTAAGCACCCAGCATGTTCATTTTCTCCCTCTGTTCAGGAAATTGAGGCGATGTCAAAAACTCGGCTTTGCTTATTTGAGTTCATCAGCAAAGTTCACAATTCGGAGCCGCATATCCGTACATAGGTCTCACATGGATGCACAACTCAGCGACATGTCTTTTGGGGTCTGATACCGGTAAGATATGTCTTGTATCGGGCGTAGACGATGCACTACCACTATTCGTCCTTGTGCATGTACAGCCAAAATTTACTTCTTTAATTCTCTCTGAAAACCTTTTCAGAGACATTGATGATTTAACAACTAATGGTCAGATTTTCTTTTAACGCTTGTTGAAAAAACAGAACCGATTTCAAGCATCTCTGTTAATACATCTCTCTAATTTTTTTTTTTTATGGTCTAAACTATTCAACCGCTGTAAATGATAAAATTTCTTGCCGAATCGAAGTCTTGCACAGTTGTTGTACTAAAGAAGAACTACCATACTCCATTAGCCTCAAATCAAAAGTAAACCAGGGCATTCCTATATCCTACAACTGAAACTTCAGTCCACAACAAGCTCTCAAGAATGGTACTCAACTGCTTAGGAAACTACGTTGTCTAGAGCTACTGCAACCTCGTTTGGCCTGTTCTATGCGCCCTTGCGAATGACGCTTCGAAGGCTATCTCCTTGTAGCAGGTACTCAAAAACCTTGTTGATCTCTGAGAATGAGACTTCATGGATTATCAACTTCTCCAATTCAAGGGTCAAATATTACTACAAGGCAGGTTGGAGTAATACTTGATCTGAAATACAATGACTATTCAACTGGTTCATGTATTTTTCAACAACAGAGGATATGCCAGAGTGGAGCTTGTAGTTTCCAAAGAAGGTGTCTTTGAGAGTTCTCTCATTCAAAATGTTCATTGGGTGGCTATTGAATCGACTATCTTTGCTTGGCACGCCCACGGCTACAAGTAGTGCAACGCCCCAACCAACCCTGCAAAGAAACATCCCCAAAATTCAGTTCCTTTCATTGTTCTATTAATAGATTTGAGGAGCTTGACGATTTGATCAGAAATTACATTGGAATGCATCAGAACACTGTTGTCATGGCATTGATGTTGCCAGTATACTCCATATTGCTCCCGTCATCTCTTCTGCTTGTTATTCCAGCGAACACCTAGTGAACGAAATTCAGAAAGAAAACTTAGTCTCTGCCAAATTAGTTGCTGAGGCTGTGTTTGGTTGCAGTTCAAATTTATTTGTACTAGTATAAATGCATGGGAGTGCAAATGTAAAAAATGCAAATTCTTGTTTAATTTTGTTTTGGATTTTACCTTATTCTGCTTTATGTCTTAATTTACTTTATTTGTACTGAAACCAAACAAAATAAACTAAAAATTGAAACAAAAATAGGTTAGAATTTACACTCAAATCATTTGCACTGTCATGGTTTTGCATCAGTACAAATTTATTTTCATGGCAATGAAACACAGCTTAAGGCTCAGTTTGGAATGAGTATAAATATAAATACATAAAATGCAAAACCTTGTATTTTGTATGCATTTATACTGTATATATTTTTATTTGTACTCTTTCCAAATTGAGCCAAACCTAAAATTGACCTCAAGAACTTCCTTGGGCTGTGTTTGGTTGCAAAGCAAATAAATTTACACTGATGCAAAACTATGGTAGTGTAAATGATTTGAGTGTAAATCCTGACTTATTTTTATTCAAATTTTAACTTATTTTACTTGATTGCAGTACAAATGAAAAAAATTAAGACATGAAACAGAATAAAATAAAATCCAAAACAAAATTAAACAAGAATTTGCATTTTTTATATTTGCACTCCCATGCATTTCTACTAGTGCAAATAAATTTGCACTGTACCAAATACAGCCCTATGTTCAAATGCTTGGAACTAACCTCTTGAATTAATTTTTCATGAATAGTTCTTCAGTCTCAGTTTGGGAAGAGTATAAAAACAAATATGTACGATACAAAACATTGTATTTTATATTTCTAAGTCTTATATTTACACAGTACATATTTGTTATTATACTCTTCCCAAACTGAGCCTCAGGTTCAAAAACTTGGTCACACCAAATTTTCTAGATAGTAGGGGTGCAAATGGATCTAATCATGATCCGATTCGATCTTATTTGGTCAAATTCGGATCACCCCTAGTCGGATCTTCGAATCAGATTCGGATTGAACCCCCTCCTCCCGATCCTATGTGTTATAAATTTATAAATATAAATATATATAATATACATATATATGTTATTTATTTATTTATAAATATATTTTTTTTATAAAAAGCATGTATATATGATGAAAATAATTAAAAATACTTATATTTTTTTTCTTTATTTAAATTGGTATATTTTATGTTTTTTAATAATTTATTAATTTTTAAAGAAAACAAGTTTGATCAAATCAGATCTAAAGATCCGATAGGATTCGCATTCAAATCGAGTCCTATCAAATTCAATCGGATCCAACATGAACAATGTTAGATCGGATTCAAATCTGATCCAATCTGATTTGTTTACATCCCTACTAGATAGTACTAATTGTATTATGGGAATCAATTTTGATACATCCCTTACAACTACACTACTAGATAGTACTAATTGTACTACGGTAAAAGTACCTTCATTGAATCACCTGGTTTCAGATCGATACCAATGATTTTTAAAACCCCTGGAATGAAAATGTAGATGTTAGGGTCCATTTTGTTCATAATCAGAATTGGAATTAGAATCGGAATGGTCCATTCTTATAGTCTGTTTGGTTCAGACAGGAATGGGAATAGGAATTAAAATCAGCAGGAATGGGATTTCATTCCTAAGAGAGAGGCAGGGAATGACCATTCCCTCAAATGAGGGAATGCCATTCCAGTAAAAATGGGAATGGAATTCTGATACCGCCCAACCAAACAGTTGGGATCGGAATAGTCGATTCCAGACCCCTATTCCTAAACCAAACGGGGTCTTAGTGTGGGCAATTATCAGATTTGTAAATGTTTTATATGTATATAAATAAATTTAATTTTTTATACAATTGCCCTCACTCAAATGAAATAGTAGGGGGTTAAATAAAATTTAACTTCTTAAATGAAGTCTAGGTATACCCCTACTCCTGGATTTGCAAATGCCTTCGGCAGCCTAATCATGTAAAATTAAAGCTTAGAGAAGAAAAGGTGAGCTATACAAACTCTGTACACAAGACATTACAGCCGCACATTAAGAGCATAATCTCCCATGAATGAAAACGTAGAATACAAGATATATCCTCAATGTACGGCTGCAGGGATCATGTCCACAGCATTTTGTGGCCAGCGGATCCAAACTACCAACATACAAAGGAAGTGAAAAGGGATTTCGTTTTACCTCCAACCTGTATGGATCCCACAACTAAGGGCACAGACAACCTGGATCACTGTATTCCCGTCCAATGAACATTTTTGAATATTGAGAAAATTCACAACGGCACCTTCTTTGGAAACTACAAGCCCCACTCTGACATACCCTCTGTTGTCGAAAAACACATGAACCAGGCGAATGGTCATTGTATTTCAGATCAACCAATCACTATTTGTATTACTTTCACCTGCATTGTAGTAATATTTAACCCTTTTTTTTCTTGCTTTGGAGGAACTTGAATTGGAGAAATTCATAACCCATGAAATCCCATTCTCAGAGATCAACAAGGCCTTTGAGTACATGCTACAAAGAGATAGCTTTCAATTCATCATCTGCATGGATGCATAGAACAGGCCAAACGAGGTCGTAGTAGCTACAGTCTACAGGCAATATAGTTTGATGATCAGTACTATTCTTTCCAGGGTATTTTTTAGTAAATGTACATATGGAGAAAGTTGGATAAGGTTAAATATGGTAATTTAAAAAATCAATGTATTATGTCAAACATTTTCCTTAAAAAAACTAAGCGAGGGAGGTATTTGCACTTTTTTTCTCAAATAGTGAGGAGAGATTTTAGGGTAAAAAAACAGGGGAGATTTAATGGATTCTTACAAAACTCAGAGAGTATTTTTGCAATTTTCCCAAAAAACAAAATTAGGAAACTCATCACCTCCCCCGCCCGAAGAAGTATAGCGTAGGCAAGTTCTTGGTTCTTCTCTACAACTCTCACTCTCTTTGCAGAGATCTAAGCATATTGGCCCGGTTTATACAAAAGAGACAGAACATAAACCAGAAAATCAAGAGAAAAGAGAGATATATTCATTAGTATAGTAGATATTAAGATTAAACTCAACAAGATGATGAATACCAAGGATATAAGCTTCACCTGATATTATCAGCAATCCCTACAGAAAATCCATCAACAATAACTCGATCCTTCTTGTTGCTTAGTTCATAAGCCCCATGTTTCGTTCTGTATTACAGATTTATAGACATTGGCATTAATTCAAAGTAAAAGAGATAATACAAGTAGAAATCAGAACTCAAAAGAGAAAGCACACTGATCAGCTCAAAGACGTTCGTATTCCGATCAGTGTTTACGAATACAGAGTAGAGTTCGCACACCTGTTTTACTTCCTTTCTTCTTTAGCGGCCAGCAGGTGTCTGTCTGGTAAACCGTGCAGTATAAACAACTAAGATATATATGGATATGGTTCAGGGTTTCCTTTCGTTGCTATGTCTACAAAATGTCGACACCATGAATCCACGACCATAAAGCTGTCAATGGGTTGTGCCTATGAGATGGATCCGAACCGAATTAACTGATTGTGTTGGTTCTGGGCCTTCTGGCTCTCTGGTTTGGGTCCGGACTGATTCTTGCTGCTTCGGACCAATTAAGACCCAAATCGATTATATAATTGGGTAAATTACTTAAAACCTCTCCTGTTTCTTACAAAAACATATCCTAAACTTTTAACTATGGCAAAAACAAATTATAGTTAGTGACTCCTCTCATTAGTGTGACATTAGAAACCAAATAGAAATCGACGATATCAAGCGTGTTTTAGAACCGCCGTTAACCCGGATGGTCGGATTATTTGGCCCGGAAACCGTTCCGGCAATCACTTCTGTTTCATCCTTAATCTGGTTTTTGGCCAGTGATCAAGTCAACTAAATCGTTGATTTGGTCAGCAGTCCGCTAATCTGGACAGTTGAATCATTGACCCATTCAACCCGTTCAATGTTTTTTATTTTAATTATTTTTTTAAATTGAAAGGGACCATCTGTTTAAACCGGACGATTAAACTATCAACCTAAAAATTAGTGGCCAGAACGGTTTCAATTCCAAATCGATTTTTAAAACGTTGACATCATGTTTTCAAATTTTTTAAAATGCGTAAATTGCCCATGAATGAATGGCTTATAAAACATTCCCAAAAAGCAGCAATGAAAATTGAAAAAGTAATTAAGGTTATTGGGCTCCGTGTTGAGAATGGTACTAACATCTCTATGAGGCCAAATCTAGCCTGTTCAGAGTTTTGATGCCCATCTCCATATATCAAGTTGCCATTAATGTTACTTCTAAGGTGGGTGGCATCTATTTGGCTTCTCAGAAGCAAGTTGAAAGCCTTCTCAGTCTTCATCATGGCTTCTTCAAGATCTCTCTTTTGGAACAGTTTTTTTCCCCCTCATCCTTCGGTTCACTTGACATTGCGGTGAAGATATAACTGTGTCATTGTCGTAGGCTTTGGAGCTCGGCTCCCCTTACCTTGCTCTATTTCATATTTGTGTCATTAGATTTACTACCAAGCTTCCCAACAAACGAAAAGTGTGAAGCCCATAATCCTTGTTTTATTTATAAGCAAATCCTTTTAATTCTTAACTCAAATTACCTATCAAAGGTCAACTAAGGAAATCCGACCGATCTGTATTCGATAAGAATTTGTCAGATTTTCAATAGAATGAAAATATTGTCGTATTTGATTCTACTTAGAATTGTAATAAAAAACTTGGTAATGTAATATAAATAATATAATATAGTAATATATTAAAATATATAATATATAATATGTAAATAATATATATTATTTCATAATTAATGGATCGAATCGGGTTATGGCGGATTGGATCAGTCTATATTCAAATAGTCATTTTGTTTATTTATTCATGTTTGAAATAGATTGTTTTTTTTTTTAACTCTAAAGCGGCACTGTAGATGCCATCTTAATTTAGTGTTGGGTTCTCACGTATGGTTAGTGGGGTGGGGGTAAGGTTGTATTTGCATCATCAGATGGGGACTTGTGCTTCATACCATACCTCATATGGGCCTCTTCCTCAACAATCTATTGGATCAAATTTGATACTATCTATTTATATGACTATATATATATATATATATATATATATATATATATATAAAGCAAGGTTCTCCTTATCATCATACTTGTCTTTGCTACAAACCTTCTTCCTAATTTCTTGTTTTTTTTTTTGAATTTCTATTTTTTTTATTTCCACATAATTGCCCATTAAACCACTAAGGAAACAAATATAAGCAAAATTATCTCTAATTCCAATTTATCCTCTCCCCCACTTTTTATCTATATCTATCTAAAGAAAGTTTGTATTAATGAATTTAAGAATTATTTAAATATTATAATGAAATTATATAATAAATTTAAAATATTTATTAAAAACACAAAAATAATTATAATAGATTTCATAATATTTATAAAAATAATTTTATATTTTTACAAAATTCATCACAAAATTATGTATTAACAATGTAAATTATAATTTTATGGATTATTTAATTTAAATGATATTCAAATGATAAAAATTTAATATTAAATAATAAAGTATTATTTAAATATTTCAATAACTAAATATCTTAAATAAAAATATTAAAAATAGATAAATAATTTTATAATAAAATATTTAACATTATGTAATAGCTTTAAAATAAGTAAAATAAAAATAATGAATAAATATAAATATTTTACAAAATAATTAAATAATTAAATATTTAAATAACTAAATATTTTAAATATCAAAATATTTAACAAAACTAAGCTTTAAATAGTTAAAATAATGAAACTATGTAATAAATTTTAAAAATTTCTTAAAAGTAGAAAAAGAATTATAATAGATTTAAAAACATTAAAATTTATAATAATTTAATGTTTTACAAAATTAATAATAAAATTATGTAATAATAGTATAAATTATAATTTTATGAATTATTAAATTCAATAAATAATTAATATTTTAAAATGTTAAATAATGATATTACTTAAATAACTAAGTAATACTATAAACTAATTTCACTTAAATAAATTAATAATTCTAGAAAATGACTTTCAAAAAATTAATATTTACTAATAATAATTTTAAAATATTAATGTATATTTATATATACAAAAATTAATATTTATTGTATTTTCAGTAATTATTTATTGTTTTTGTGATAAATATATTTTCAATAATTGTGTATAAATTTGTTTTTGTTTTTTTATTTAACAAAAAAAACATTAAATAATTATTGAAGATTAAACTATTGATATTTAACTTTTTAAATTTAATTTATTGCACCTATTGTATTTATTGCATTTTTATCAATTTATTTTTAGTAATTATGTCTTTTTGTTACAATTTATTCACTAATATTTATTAGAGATTAAACTATTAGTTGATATTACACTATTTATTGACTAATTTTATATATTTTTCATTATTTATTGTATTTTTTGTAATTATTATATTTTTATTAGTTCTATATTGTATTTTCATTGTAAATTTATTTTCAATATTTTTGTACTTTCATTATAAAATTGCAATAATTATTAGAGATTAGACTATTAATTTAGTTGAAATTAAGAGTTTTCATGGGTTGGTTCAGTTCGGTTCGGTTGCAGGCAGTTTGGCCAACCAAATCGACCTGGTCAAGTTGGGGAGTTGGTCACCCAAAACAAACTAACCATTAGTGAAAACTGGCCAAGTTGGGTTATATCAATTTGGGTCGATTTTCAATTCTGTTATTCAGTTCAAAAGATTTAAACTGAAAAAAAAAATAAATTAAAAAAATTGTAGTGGTATTATTAAAAAATAAATTTGTGATATAAAATATTTTAGACTAAGGAATATGGGAATTTTCCCACTTTCCCATATTAAAAAATATATTTAAAATATAAAATATTAATATATACCTATGGTCAGGTTAGTTTGGTTTTGGTCGGTTTACAAATGGCCAAACGAAAACTAATCTAGCTTGGTTGGGTTGGGAAATTTTTGAACCAAGTCCAATTGGAAATACTAGAAACTGACCAACTCGGGTCAAGTTGGGTGAGATTGGTCGGTTTCATTTGTTTGATGAACAACCCTAACTGAAATTAATTAGTTATTTTTGTATTATAAAAAAATTAGTAAAAATAGTATATAAAATATAAATAATTATTAATTATATTAAAAGTTAAAATATAAAACAGTAGTATACTCTTATGTCTTTCTATTGTTTAGCTTTCGCTTAACAAAGCCCATGCATTGCACGGGTTCCCACTAGTATAAATAGGGGTGGGTCCATATTTAATGCAATTATAAACTGATTGAATTAAAATCACCCTTGGATCAAATTTATGTTAATTTTGTGTTTCTACGGTTGCCCTTGTGTTACATGATAAAAGGTAATTTAATATCCACCATGAAAAGTCTTTTTTTTTTTGTATTAATCACTACTTGACACCCCCATAGGGGGTCGTTACTCTTTTAAGTGAACAATACAACATCACATCAATAGCTATTTTCTTACAAAGATTATAATAGTGGAATTTGAAACCACACTAGCGCTAGGACAATTCATCCAGTGCACCAACTGGGCTACCCCTCAGTTCACCATGAAAAGTTAGGACAGGTTTATAAGTCCCTTCATCCCAAAAGTAATAAGAGGTTTAAGGCTGCATTTGACATTCTTTATCTTAAGGACTTGTGTTCTTTTTGCAATTAAAATGCCCTTATGAACATTGAGTTTTTAACAACAAAAAGGATATAAGTCCTTAAAATAAGGAATGTCAAATGAAGCCTAAGAACTGGTCAACATTGAGGGGAGGTTTAAGGGATTAATCGAAAAAAAAACTATTGTTTTCTCATGGAGTCCAGATCTGCTGGCCACGTTCATCTAGCCGCACATTACGAATGTCTTTTGTATTTTATATCGCCAATATTCTTGATGTGCCACAGGATGAACGTGACCAGCAATGTGTTGTGGTTAGCATCTGAACTTTTGTCTATTTGCATGTTCAGCAAAAATTTAGTTCAGACCAAAAACCTTCTAGGGGTTTCAAAGTCTCTTGATGATTTAACAACTTGAGGTCTAATTCATACTTTGTGCACTCTCATCGGACTAGAGTGTAAATATGTAAATGACGAGATCATATTCAATACTCACAAGACCTTGCTCACACCCACTTGCAATCATGTATTGGAAATATCTCAATACTTGGGGCTCAAATCTAGGGGCACAACTTGGGTGGGTCTAGCCTGAGCCCGAACCGACCCAACCCAAAATTTTACATAGGTTGGGTTTGGATTTTTAGTCTTCAGGCTAGGCTTGGGCCCAAGAAGTTAGGCTTTTTTATTTTTTGGACCGAGTCTGGGCCTAGCCCTTAGGTAGACTGAACCCGGCCCATGCACGGCCCAACTATACACATTCATAAATACATATGTATATACATACACACACAAATGTGTATACATATTTACCTATATACATACATATTTGTATACATATTTCATAAATGCATATATAATTTTAGAGCGGGTTCATTGACCAACCCGAGCCCAACCCGAGTGCATCAAATTACAGTGTGGGTTGAGCTCGGGTTGGGAAGATTGGTCTTGACCTCGATCTCAAGCCTTAAGACCAAATTTTAGGGTCAAGCCTAGGTTGAGCATAAACCTGGCCCAACCTGCCCGACTTGCATCCCTATTCGAATCTTCTACCTGACAAGTTGTTCCCACATCTCTATGCACGGGACACTATAGTTGCACATTAGTAACATCTCCTTTTTTATTCATAGGGAGATATTTCGAAAATACAATGGTGGTGTCCCATGGGTATAGATGTGGGAACATTTTGTGGGTAGTAGAGATAGAGTGCCATATTTGTACGTTTTTATTCATGGGGAGATATTCCCAATGCACAACTGAACTCTGCAAGTGACCATGAGAACATTGTGAGCATGGAATTGTGTGCACTAAATCTGAGTTCATAAATGACCCACAATTATGTCCCAATTATATGAATTTGACTTGAAGTCTTGAGTAGGGGTGCATTCAAGTCGAGCCAAGCCGAATATCTGGCTATTCGAGCTTAAATAAGCAATACACTATGAGGCTCGAGCTCAATTCAAACTAAAGACTTGAGCTCGAATTCGGCTCGAGTCAAAAGTTTGTAAGTTCAAACTCGACTGTGAGCCAAACATTTTATAAAAAAAATTATACATATAAAATTTATTTTTTTTATTTAACATATTTTTATTCTACATATTCAACTATGATATGAAAAAGATATGATATCCGAAAAATAACTAACCAATAAACTGGAATCATAAATGTGGTAGCAAATAAGGTATTATTTATCAAAATTCATGGGAGAGTTTTGATTGGTCAAAACTCTTCCGATACCATATCTTTCCCACATCATAGATTTTCCCATATATATAATATATATAAACGCTCGATTAGGCTCGAACTCAGCTCAAAGCTTGATTTAAATCTACCCAAACTGATATTTTTTCACGAATACTAATTAAATTTTGAAAAGCTCGACTTGTGACCACCCATAATCTTAAACTAACAAGAATATTCGATTTCCATGGGTGAATAGGTTTGAAAGCTGAAGGTATTGAATTGAGTAAGAGAACTGATAGTGTCTCGTGAGTCGTTGCAACGTTAAACAGGACATACACATCAAATTTTCTTTTAACACTTGTTGAAAAATAGGAAACAACTCCGAGCATCTCTGTGGATATGACAATTGGATTCACCTTTGATCCTTGCTAACATAATTATAGTTAGGAATGGCAACAGGGTGGGGTGGGGACGGAGAGCCTCTCCCCATCCCCATCCCCGTCCCTGTCCCCATCCCCTCTAATAGGGATAAGGTTATCCCCATCCCCATCCCCATCCCCACGGGGATCCCCATTCCCTGTGATTTTTTATAATGTTAATCATTTTGTTTTTGCTTTTATTTTATTTAAAAAACTAAAGATAAAATAATTAAAATTTATAATCCCATTAGAAAATATTCAAACATATTTAACCATACTTTTAAAAATATTAATATGTAGATGTATGTGTACATATATACATATATATTAGTGGGGATCCCACAAGTGGAGATTGGGGATCCCTGCGGGGCGGGGAGTGCTCTCTCCGTCCCTGCCCCATCCCCACTGATGGGGATGAAAATTTCTGCATCCCCATCCCCGTGGGGGAAAATCATCTCCATCCCCGCTCCATTTAGGATGAATCTCTTCACGAAAATCGAAAAAATGAGAAAAATTGTCATTCCTAATTATAATCAATCGAGGGATGGAAAAAGAATGTCAATATGTCATGAGATATATGTCAAATCTCAAATCAGTGAACCACTTTTGCTTTCATTCAAACTAAAAACAAAGTGGAATATATCCTTTCCATAATGGGATGCTTCATTTCAACTCGAATCACCTCGTCTCGTATGTTTTGTCTTTCCAAGGGTAATACTGTGGTTGATTTGTGATAGGCCAGTACCAACGGGGGCCATCCTGTTAAAGCCCAAACTTATTAAGGCCCAACTGACACCTGCTTAGAAGAAATTGTAGGAATATGGAACCGCAGTTTGGCCCGCCATTGGATCAGACATCAATACAGCAAGTGATTCTCGCCTAGTGGCCCTTGAACTTGCGGGTGTCAATATACCAATCCGAATTAAAATCAATTTGAGTGGATTCGACGGACCCATAAGACATTTAATTGGAGCAGTCCAGACTTAATGTTCCAAAATATTTGTTGGATTGGATCTGGCTTGGTTCGTTTGCAATAAATTTATATTATACAGGATCTAATTTAATCAATATCCAGTCTATTGGCATAAGATAAGAGTATGGGTGTCAATGGGATCCGATCCAATCTAAATTAAAACCAATTCGAACAGTTGGAAGGGTCCAGACATTGAATTGATGAATCAGTCCAAAATGGTTCGTTGGACTCATTATCCAGTCCATTGACAGCCTTATTTTAAAGAAATCAGATTCAGTTAGTACAAAGTCTGTTGAACAGTAATAGCCTTTATAACCTTGCATTGGGAACATCTCCGTACTTCTATGTTTCTTTAAACACCCATTGGACTTGGCGAGAGACATCCAAACTTTAAAAAAATAGACACGTGGTATTAAAACGCCAGTAGAGAGGGGATTCCCATCGACTGTCTTTCAACATTTACAACCTGATGAGTTGAACTTGAACCTTCAAAAGCTCAAAAGCAAGTATTCTCTGCTGAAAGCAAATTATAGAAACCCTAATATTTACAAAGTCATACCAACACAAATCACCTCCCCCGCCAGAAGAAGCACAGCATCTTATTCCACTAAGCAAGCTCTTGGTTCTTGTCTACAACTCTCACTCCCTTTGCAGATCTAAGCATATTGGCCTGGTTCATACAAAAGGGACAGAATATAGACCAGAGAAATCCAGAAACAAGAAGATATATTCATTATCCTAGTAGATATTAACATTAATAACAGCATAACTACCAAGGATATAACTTATAAGCTTCACCTGATCATCACTAATCTCTACAGCAAATCCATCAACAATAACCAAAGAAAATCTCTTATTGTACGTCCCAGGTTCCAGTGTGCTCGCCAACAACTGATCGTGTTTATTGCTCAGATACACATCAAGTTCGTAAGCCCCTTGTTTCGTTCTGTGTTATACAGAAACCATTGACACAGACAGACAGAGACAGAGGAAGAAATTCTTAGAAATTGCTGGCATTAATTCAAACAAAAAGATAATATCAGTAGAGATCAAAACAGAAAGTCAGAAAACACACCGATCAGCTCGAAGACGCTCGTATTCAGGATCAAAGTTCATGAATACAAAGTAGAGTTCATCTGTTTTACTTCCCATAACCACCTCTTCCCCTTCCTTTTCTTCTTCAGTGGGTGTCTGTGTGGTAAACTATGCAGCATAAACAACACACAGGAATCTGAATGTGGTTCTTGGTTTCCTCTTCTTGCTATTTATACAAAATTGTCGACATCGATGACCGAATCCACACCAACCCACATTTCTAATTTCAGAACTAATCAAAAAAAGCAATTTTCTTTCTTTCAACAATTATTTCTAATATCCAAAATGAGTATTGTTATAGCATATATATTCACCCAGATGCCCATAAGCTAAGATGATTTTTAATTCTCTCTCTTATTTTTTAACAGTATTGACACCACGAATATTAATTCTCTACTGAAGTATTGTCTGTCAAATTATCTTCTTAGTTATTTTAATTAAAATTAACAGAGTTTGTCTACTAAATTGTTGACTACAGCAGGTTTGGAGAAGAAAAGTCAACAATTTAATACAACTAAAGATTTTGTAAAAATAGTCAAAGAATACATTGTATCAACCATATATGTTACTGACTGATTATATATCTAATACCAAGAAAGGCCCACATAATCCAAACTTAATCCATTATCCTAATCAACCCTCTAAGCCCAATGAGAATCTATTCAAGAGGTCAAAGTTTGTAATACATGATCTAATATATAGAGTCCAACCATATTTCCCTTATCCACAACCACATGGGCACTCAATTCTACTCTCTTAACCTTGGAAATCCAAATTAATTGTGTAAGCCTCCTTAGTTGACTTCTTTGGTATTGTGGAAGAGACTTTGTAATCGTGTAGTCTCTGTGATAAACATAATTGGAGGTCTTGGTTTAAGTTCTTGACTACTGGGTGTTTATTATAATCTTGAGTTAACAGCAGTGGATGTATTGGGACGTCATAAGGTTAAGTGTAGGAAATATGAAATGGTTTTATTAACTGATACGTGGATTTGAATCTTGGGTAAACTTTTTATTTGTTTAGTAAAGGTGAAACCGTGGGAATTTAATTATTTAATGAATGAAGTGAGCGGGAAAGTGTGGTAGGGCCAGGAGACCGGATTTGCTGTTTACACCGGGCGCCTCGCATTGACCCCACACGTACATCCTACCATGCAATGAAAACATCCTCTGTACTTATAAATTATTGTTCATGAGAGATATTCTAAATATACGATGGATTTATCTGTGAGACGCCCATGTGTAAAGAGCAGATCCTGTTCCTAGGGGGAGGGGGTGTTGGAACAGCAAGTAGTTGTTAATTGAGTTGTTTGGAGAGGGGGGGGGACCATGAGCTAGAGAGAGAGAGCCAGTGGACAGTCCTCAGGCTCAGTCTGGGTCTCAGTGACTGATGAAGCAGGAGAAGATTCGTTGAAGATTCACAGTCTCAACGTGAGTGAAAGCTGTAACTACCAGGTTGTTTGGAGGGACCTGGTGGATGTGGCTCTCAGCCGAGGGAGGAATGGCAACGCGGCGGGTTCAGGGCGGGCCCGGGCACACTCCTCCCTGCCCCATTATCAAATATAATTTATTTTGTCTTTGCCTCGTTCCCGGGCAGGGCACCTACTTCTTATACAGATGGGAATTATGGAATTTTTTTACTTTAAATAATTTATTTAAAAATAATCAAATTTATGGATATTTTAGAAATATCGTTATGAAAATTTAAAAATATTTTAGGAATTAGATTATGACAATTTAAGCATACTTTAATAATGGAATTATGGACCTCAGGGTTTTAAGAATTTGAAAAAACTTATAAAAAGAAATATTAAATCTATGAATATTTTACTAGTTTACCATCGGGTTCAGGGAATTATATGTAAACCCCATCCCTAGTTTGGGGAAAAAATATTTTCCCGCCCCTATTTAGGATAGGGAATTATATCCAAAGTATGACAGACTACATTAAGAGTAAATTAATGCAATGATCACATTAAGAGATATATTGGTATTGGTGAACTTTTCTTTCCTCTTAACTCTCAATGAAGAGAATGTTATTCTGAATTCTGAAAATTATCAAATATCCATCCCATATATGAAATTTTTGTTTGTCTTTTTTGGGGGTATCATTGGAAAACAAAAAGTTGTATGATTACACTTTAAGAGATAAAAGATACAAGAAAATAAACAATCAATTTTCTCTTAAAGTTTAAAGATTCCTCTTAAGAGATAAGAGTTGAGAGAAAATGAATAGGCCCTAATAATGTAGGGTTACATGTTATGCACTTATTCAAGTAAAGATAAAAGGCAAGTATGAACATTATATAGTATGGATAATAATTGTTAATGCTAATTTGAATGAAAGTTGAGGAACAAATACATAGAAAATAAAAGAAACAAAATTACAAATAGAAAATAAAACAAAAAGTTTTTTTGGCTCAGTTTAGAAAGGGTACAAATACAAATTTATAGAGTGCAAAACCTTATATTTTGTATGTATTTGCACTGTACATATGTATATTTGCACTCTTTTCAAAATTACAAATAGAAAATAAAACAAAAGATTCTTTAGGCTCAGTTTGAAAAAAGTGTAAATACAAATATGTACAATGCAAAATTACAAATACATAGAAAATAAAACAAAATGCAGGGTTTTGAACAGCTCCTTCTGGGGCTAAATTTGGAAAGAACGCAAATACAAATACATACTACTAGCTGCACTGTACATATAAGTAATTCTGTGATTATAACACAAGCTGCTTAGTAACTTTCCCTCAATTTTCCATTCCTCTTGTAGATATTAAGGCTGCGTTTGGTTTGAAGGAAAAGGTAAGGAAAGGTTTCCCTATCTTTCCCTTCCTTTCCTTACCTTTTAAACCAAAGATAGCCTAAAATAAAATAGTTGAATTCCCCTTGTTGGTGCCAATTCTGGCTGTTTGATACCTAGGGAAGGCGAAGCCCCCTGAGAGCTATTCCTATTCAGTCCCCCCGACCTCCTTTTTTTCTTTATTTACCCAAACAAAAATACAATTTTGAATTCAGATATAACCAATTTGTGTGCCTCCTATAATGGAAGAGCGGGATTAAACCTAAAGTTTTTAAAATCGGAATGGATAGGAACCGTTCTAGGTCGGGTTCCCGGGTCAAATGGTCCAATTGTTCGATCCGAATGGATAGCCCGCTCTAACAACAAATTAAAAACATAAAAACCGGCCAAAAACCGTTCCCAGGTCATGATTCAATGGTTCGACCGCCTAAGTCAAAGGTTCACTAACCAAATCAACGATTTAAGACCAAAAATCGGTTTTGGGGTAAAATGAAACCGATCAGGTGATCGGTTCCAGGTTTTTCCGGTTTGACTGTCCGATCTGATTTTGAAAACATTGATTAACCCTAAGGCCAATGTTCTTGTCCATCCTGCTCTTTTCCCACCCTTAATCCCCAGTATTTTGAATTCTATTAATATGAGAAAAAATATATATGCTAAATTCACTTTCATGAGTCTAGGATTTGATAGAATTCTTTTCTGTCTCCTCTCCTAGTTGGGAGTCTCTAGTTTTGCTCTGATTGGTTTCTATTAATTAATGAGATAAGCTTCAGCCCCCCCTCCCATTTGCTATAAGGGCAAAAACATAATTTAAACTACTAATATTAAATTCAATCCATTAGTTTTTTATTAAGTCCTATATTTAATTTAAGGTATTAACTCCCATACTCTTTCATTAAATCATATATTTACTGTATACTAAATAAATGAACATTGTGGACTTTTTCTTCATTTAAAAGCCCTTACTTTTGAATTTGGTCCCTTTGTAATTGTAAGGGCAAAAAATGCAATTAAACTATCGCTATTTCACTTAATTCAATTTCCTCTCGTTAAGGTGTTAACACATAATGCCATAATTATATGATAAAGAACTCAAAAAGTAGATAGAAATAAAAAATTAGGAAAAATGCAAAAATTTATCAAAAAAATTGTACACAACTTTAATATTATATATTTATCATATTAAACAAAAATAAATTTGATAAATAAGAAGTTATAAAATTTAAATCAACTAGCATCCCATGCTTTAATTACTTAACGAGTTTTAATAAGAATGATATTATTATTATTATTATTATTATCACATGCAATGTACAGATACATTTAATAGTAGATATTAAAAGGGAGAATGACTGTTCAACCCACCTTAGAAGTCTTAGCCCCATCGTAGGTGGGATGAACCCTGATTGTGGATAGGGCAAGATGCGGTTTATAGGGGGGCTACTAATAGACTATGGGGGTGGTAATTTCAGAATTCTGCAATGGGTTGCAGTGTACTTATCAGATATTAAAATGAATGGTATAATTTATGGGGCAAGGTAGGGTATAAGGTCGGTTTGATTTGGAGGATCAAGTGCCAAATGAATCTAATTATTTTTGTTTTTTGGTCATGTTGGATTTTTTGTGGACAACGTCAGGTTAATCCCTTCTTGCTTTGAAAAAGTTTCATTTGTTAATAGCAATGTAATTAAATTATTAATTTATATTTTATTATTTAATATATTCTTTTTTAGTAATATTTTATTAGTTTTCTTTTATTATTTTGGTATTCATTTATTATGATTTAATTATTAATATATTACTATTATTATTATTTAATAATTAATATAAGATTTTATTAATAATTTATTATAGTAATATTATTTTATTATTTTATACTAATATTTTATTAATAATATTTAGTTTTGGGGCTTTTTAAGAATTCTTTGCATTTTGAGAAACTCTATAATGAAAATCTCATTTGGACCAAACCAAATGAACCCTAATTATCACTAATTTGCCCTTTTTTAATTAAAAGATGAATTCAAAAGAGGTAAATTTTATGCATTGACAAAAAGAATCCACCCATCTATAATAAAATTGGGCGGTCCATGTCATCATGTCTCTCCTTTGAGGGAAAGAGACCTTTGCGTTTTTCAAGGCCTCTTATTTTAATGAATGTTATTATTACATTTAAAAAAGGCATTTAAGAGAGAGAGAGAGAGAGAGGGAGTGGTAATAATAATTATTATATTTAAAAACTTATAATATTAATAATAATTATAATATATTTAATAATTAACAGCATTTTTATTAATGAACAGTATTAAACATATTTATTAAAAATATTGTATTTATTAATTAACAGTATTTTTAAATAATTATCCGTATTTTTTAAAAAACAACATTAAATGATGTATTTACTAATTAATATAAAGTA